TTGATAATACGACTGGGGTTTTGAACCAATACCTGCAGACAAGAAAAGTCTAATTAAATATAGAAGAACAAAGGAAAAACCTCAACAGATGATTTAAAAAACTATACCAAACCCCTAGATTTGTTTGTTAGCTAGGATGCAGGAAATTACAAGATTTGGTGGACATAGGTAAGAAAAGTTCTAGGAACAAGTGTAACAACTAAAGATCATTAAGCTCATCATCCTTGAAAGATCACACTCACTGGTAGACAGCAATATATTTGTTTCTGTTAGCTGACACAGTGCCTTGTGAAAATTTCCTACATGGAGGATGTGCACAGCTACCCAGGTACTCAGAGGAAAGAATGACTACTAAAGGTTCTTTGAATGCTATCTCTTCCACTTAATAAACATTTCCTCCTTATCACTAGCTGCATACGGGCATACCATATGGACAACCAATTTCCTGTTACCTTTGAAGGTAATGACTTATGTCATAATGTCTTATGTCAAAGAATGTATGAGGTCAAATAATTCTGTGTTGCTGGTATCAGTTACAAGATTTCTTAGAAATTAATCCAGAATAAAAGATGTGAAAGATTTTACAGTAGTTTATGGTCAACTATACGTTTTCAAAGTCTGTACATAAAGGCCAAAGAGGCGGGGTATCCTTATACTCCAGCAAACAAAAATTTAATATGGAAATGCCAAGGTAGTTTAAATTAGCTACCTTGTAATCAAGTAGCAGTTCAATTGTACGTGCTACATATTCATTTACCCTGAATTTCAGCAAAACCCAAATGATACACATACAAAGATGAATCTAACTAATGTAGGAAGAAAGTGTCAAAGGACGTATCTGTCAATACAATTCTATAGAAAGTAAGACAACGTCTGGCACTTAATAGCCAAGATTAAAAATAATCTATCTAAAAACTTGAGAACTATGCTAGATTTATATATATCTGTGTGTATGTTCATATAAATAGCTATAAAAATGTATCTAGCTGTAAAACGATATGCCTGTTTTCATTGAAGATATTCTATGTTTTATGCAGCTGCAAAACGCTGAATCTGAAAGCACTGGTGATGCACAGCTGAATAAAAGAAATTTCTAATTTTTAATACTACTGAATCTCTCACAAGTCTTCATCAGACTTTCAGGCAGCTAAAATAGAAATACTGTATTTTAGACAAGCTAATCCTCCCCATCTGTTTACTGTTTCAGTACTAGTATGTTTTTCTGTTTGTTTAAGGGGGACAAAAAGTGATGAAATCCCATGTTTTTCTTAACACAGAACATGAACATCAATACAATACTTGCTTCTGTAGCCTGCAATAGCATGCTACTTAACAGCAAATTACTTCAGAGTAACAGGTATTGCATACTTCATAGGGAAAATGACCTACATGAGAAGACCAAAATGAGATATCCTAGCAGAGCTGTGGAATTGTTTTCACTTAGCCATTAGCATTAAAAAACACTTCAGAGAATACTTAGGGAATTTATTTCAACTATTTCTTTTTGTTCCTGTTTGTAACTCTCCAATTTTGGTGTGAGTTTAGCTGGTAACTGATACAGGATTACTCATACAATGAGTTGTGAAGGCCTAAAAGTTAGACTGTTTTCTTAGCTACTCATTCATATCTCAATGTGAACTTAAATTTTGTACCTTTTTGTTTGTTTATTTTGTTTCAATAATACAGAATTTTAAAAATGAGATTTTATAACTCATAAAACTAAAAATGCAGCTTTCAATCCACATCAAATACATAGTGGAATATAACCTGATATTCTTTGTGAAAGAGTAAATAATGGGGGAGGATGCTTAATAACAAAGTCAGGAAAAAGTATTACTAGAAACAGGTTCTATAAAGTCACAGAATAATTATTCTGTAATACACTTAAGTATAAAATAAATCATATTAATAGCAAAAAAATCCTCTTCCTTCCAGGGCAATGTTAGGAAATTCAAGAGAAATACATGCATAAAGTATTGAACACAGAGAGAATAATCACAGTTTATTGATTATTGTATTTTACTAATTTAGTATGGGATTGTAACAAGCTAGAGATACTTTCTTTTACATGCACAAATGGTTCAAATTTATACATCATTAACTGTGGAGAGGATACAGCCCATGGCTCTGAAATGTATTTCATTATTAATTGCAAAGAAATAAAACATGCACATACTTTTCTTTACTAATAAAAAAGTTAAAAAACGGTAGTAACAATGTCATTTATTCTGCATCAACATTTTCCAGAAAGGCAACTCTGACATTAGGCATTCTGAACTTCATGAAAACAGAAAACTTAAAATATTTTTTTAAAAAGGTGCTTACTTTTAAGTCCAAAACCCTATTTGTTTGTGTCTTGGCGTCCAGCTTGAAAGGTGCATAGTGTTTAATAGCTTATATGACAGTCAAAGCAATCTTTGACTATGGAAAGAAAACTTTCTAAAGGAAAGGACCTGACAGACTGTAGTGGCTGCAACAAAGTCTTTCCAACAACTTCAACAGGATTTGGAACTAAGCACCACCATAACAAGTGACTTCCTAAGACACTTCAATTTTTCCTGACTTAAAACCAGATTTAATAACTTATAAACCGATTATTTACAGGGTGGTAATACTGGTAATGGCTGCGTTTTGGAGTCTGGGATATGCAACAGGGGGCTTTCCTTGGTTTTACCCTATACTTTATTTATTATCCATCTATTTTCAGAGCAACGTATGTGCAAGTTAAAGACATATCATTGTTCTACCCCCGGAAAGAAAGGACAGGAGGGAGGAGAGGGAGGGAAAGAAAATCTTCCTTAAAACAAACAAAACCCAAATAATCCTGTTTTCCTAACATTCACTCTCTGGCCTAGTCAGAGACAGAAATTACACATATTTAAAAGTTAAGCCAGACTTAAACCAAAACAAAATCCCTACACAGAAACCCTTTTTTAAGCAAAACTGTGCTGGATTTGGCTTATGCATGTTCTAAATCAACTTAAGCCAGCAATCAGTAGGGTCTATCAAATTAAATGCATCCACAAAAACTATGGACTAACCTGATTTACTTACACTGCTTGTAAAATCACACATAAGTAATTGGTACAACTCTGTAGCTGATGTTCTTTATCCACAGAGCTTAAGAAAGAATATATGCAATACAAAGAAGCCCTAGCCACAGATCTAAAAAGTACACTAAATTTAGTATTGACTGACAAAGTAGCTCAGATCTTGAAATGCTGACTTGCTTCAACAAATTAAAGACAAGACATTATTAGAGACAGACGCTGAAGGCAGATATAAAAACCACAGGAGTTATGTATTCATTTCTTCCGTACTTCAACTAACAATAAGCTACATTCCCCATAAGAACTAGAAGCACCTAAACCCACACAAGTTCACCTTAATGATCACAATGGTGCACTGGCTTCTTACTAAGTATCATGCAGAATTTTAAAAACTCATTTTGACTTAAAATTTCTGTATTACGAAGAGCTCAACTGTTTGCTCATGCCATTTCACCACAATCTAATCACAGCCACTGATCTGCAAATTATCAGGCATAAAAGAGTTCCCCATAAACGTGACTGCACAGGAGCTCTAGAAAAACGGTCTAACTGTACCAATCTTTATGGTGTGTACAATACATAAGCAGTATCTCTTTCATGGCTGTGTGTGAAAAGAACTGATGTTATTTCTCCTACTACTGTTGCCTGTGGTGCATTTGTTGATTAGTGATGAAAGGAGAATTACAACTACAATTACATGTACGGCAAGAAAGTGCTCTTTCCTACACAAAAAATCAAAATAAAGAAGTATATGTGATAATTTGTTGTGACAGTTTCAAAACAGCAAACAAAGATGTGACAGTGAAGTGACAATAACAGGCATATATAAGATTACCCCATGTAACACAGCTACTGGCAATATTGTATGTAATATACTAACACAGCTTATGGACTTACACATTGCAAAATAATTTGCTGCTTTAAATTCTGTGATAGCAACCTTTGTGGTATCTCCACAAAATTGGTTTACATTGTGACCCATTGGGAAAATACATTTTCTTTAATGTTGACAAAAACAAACTCTGAATAAAAGTTTCTAAGGTGTCTTGATTGTTATAAAAAAAAATTGACTTACAGAAAGTGTTAAATACTAGCAAAGGGCTAATTATACCATACTAAGTTCCTTTCGTCTAGTATAAAAGGACATTTTCTTACTTTGCCTGGCTGAGTATAATAGCCTATGAATTATGAGATCAAAGTTTTCTAAAGTAAGAGTTTCCTTCACCAAGTTTTACACTTACTACAGCTAAAAGAGCTGTGTGAAGGGATCAGCGCTAAACCCAAAGGACAGGCTGTGCACAGCAAGAAAGAGAGCAACTCCCTCGTGCTTTTTGCAGGTCACTACCAAGGACCATGTTAGCAGATCCACACCAGACCCTTAACAGGCAGCTCTGCTGCTACCAGTAATTAGCTTGGACAGCTCTGGCTCCAGGAGTAGCAGCAAGGCTACACCATAATGAGCTCAGCTGGGATTAGCAGGACAGGGCAGGGAACCAAGAGAGCTGAGGCATTCTGCATTGCGTATGTATCACAGAGATCAAACAAGGATGGCTGGCTAGGTTATCCCCTCACCACCTCATTCCAAAAATGAAGCACGGCAGTGTGTAAAATACAGGCTAATGAAGAGCGACACCTCCAACAGATGAGAGCCACATTAATTAACACAATCCCTAGATCATGGAATACAGTTTCTGTTAGTGCTAGCAAACTTATAACTTGTCACTGATTGGGGGGGGG